TTGGAGTAAAAACATGCAGCCTCCTGGTGACTCACTTGTGGCTACCTTACTGCCAGAGAACTAGAAATCTGCCTAAAATTTCTGAGCGTCGGGAATTTTTTGGCGAAAGGTACACCCACCCTATGCCAAAAGCAGAGTGATCAAACCCAAGCTATGCTTTCTGTAGCCTGGATCTTGAACAGATGGTGAACTGCCATCTCTGAAGGGATGTCGATGGCTTCAGTCTAGCAGGACACCTGTTTGCCATTACGATTAGCTTGAGACCGAGCAAAATGGAGCAAAAATGTTTAGCATCAGCTCTCAGCTTGGTGGGGACATGTAATTTCTTCAGATTCACTCTCTCTTGAGTTAATCCAAGCCCTGCTCTGTTATGACAGGTGTGCAGCCACTCTCTGTGCGCTTCTGGTTGCCTTCTTCCCATCAGCTCAGTCGACAGAGTGGTGAAATACCTTTGATTTAGAGTGTAAGGGTAGGCACTATGACTGCTCCTTTGGTGCTTTCCATCAGTTCCTGCTGTCTTGCAGGAAGCAACTTGGTTCATCACGGTCTGTGGGAGACGGCAGCAGACTCAGGCTGCTAATCACCCTTCCAGCCCTCAGGAGAGCTCGCACCTTGGTTGTAAGGGGAATTTTTTGAACTGTGAGAGGACTCTGCCACCAGTAATACCACTTAAGTTAAGCCCAACACTGCGAGCATTCTACTTTGTTCAGTAGCGGGCAGTGCTTGCTACAGAGTAATAGCAAACAATTCTGTGTAGCTGCAAATGGAGACTTTACTGCAGGGCTCTGACCCTGCATGTTAGATTTGATCATTCAGAAAGCACATGTCAAACCACCACGAATATATTCCTTTTTTAACGTCTTTAATATATCAGCATTTCCTACCAAAAATGCCCTAGAAGTCTCATGCAATTCAGCCTTTCTCTACTTTTAAATCCTTCTACTCTCCTCCTTTTTACACCACACTCTTTAAATGGGACACTATTGCTAAATAGATCTCAGTCTGCTTTCAAAATCCACTTCTTGCTTTCCTGCTAAAGACAGTTTTGCTGACCGTAGAGACAAGACAGGCCATTAACAAGCTCCTCTTCAAGCACTGTACTTATGTCCAACACTTTTATGGCTATTACTCATGTCCAACTCAAGGTCACCCTGCTCTCTATGACTTCAGAACAAGAGCGACTCAGAGCATAGGTCCCAGGCTTATTTCTACTTGAAAAAAAAAAGCTCTAAAATATTTGCACCATAATAACAAACTGTTCAGTACAACCATTTGCAAAACTGCCAGCAGGTCAAGCCTGCCCAGTTATCTGGCTCATCAATTTTGTGTATCTTTAGTCAGATTAGCTACTTTCTGCTGAAATCTCCCCCTTCCTCAGCTGTCACTGTGAAGTGCCTAGAAAATAATTTCAGTAAAAGTTATCTATGTTTCCACATGTCTCCTGTTAGTTCTCTTTGTACAGAGTATTTCAGTCAAACAAATATTAAACAAAGCTGTACCAATTGCAAAATTTTGCAGATGGAGAAGAGAATGGTTGGTTGGTTTTTTATTCCTTTAAAAGAGTATTAATTAATTTCCAAGGAAACATAAAAAAGCCATGCTTTCATTCAAATTCATGACCTGAACAAGCAGTATATTTCTAAGACTTATTTTATTTTTTTAATTATCTGCTGTCTGACAATATTAATGACAAGTTACAAGACTTATTTTTGCAAACAGTTTTTAGAAGTTCTGTGATGAATTTGCTCTGAACAGCTCAGTTTGTTTCTTTTTGCCCTGGCTATGTGAGACTGCAAGAAGCGCATGTTATTGTGGTGATTCTAGAAGCACTTTCAATTCTAATAGGGAGGGTTATTGAATTGATATGGCATGGCCATACCATATATTACTGACAGAATGGATAGGGACATTTTTTTTGAGGGGAAAAAAAATGTTTCCATACTAAAAGTACAAAAAAAAAAATAAAATTCTCTAGCTGTGTGCTCCCAGGAATTAGAAAATAAGAAGGGCAATTCATTCTGAGATGTTCTACAGACCTGAGACTTTTTCCTACAGTCTTGTTGGAAGCCATTCATTTAGGCAACCACTGAATGAACCAAAAAAATATATATTTTTAAGATGGTTAAGATGAAACCTTTGTTTTGCAAAAAGAGAAAAGTAAGATTCTGATGTATTTGTAGTCTCAGAGTACAAATTGAAATTCATAATCAAATGAAAACAGTAAAGGATGTGTGTGAGAAATTGTGGCTGTGCGTACAGAAAATAGAGCAGAATATAGAATACACACATATTTGTTGGTAACAGGTTAAAGAAGTAGTAACTTATTGAAGAGAAATTTACTGCAAATCACAAAATCTACCATTAACTGTTAAACAGAAATGACTACCCACTGAAAACCATTGAAAAAACCCTGTCCTTTTGAATTTATTAGATTAAAGAGATTAATCAATGATCTACTCAGCAACTGATCAGAGAAAACTTATCTTTTTTTTGCCTACATTTGCATGCTGTTGTTGATTATAATTAGGTAAGGTGCATACAGCTGAAACTAAACCGGTTTTCAGAGCTTCAGTACCTGCCATATCTGACCTTTACAATTTTTTCTGAAGGTTAACATTATTCTAAAGGTGTTTATAAGATATTTTTCACACATCCAACGTGACTTTAAAAAAACCCAGCTTTTGGCCTCTGTGAACATGCCAGAAAGACTGATGAGGAGAAGGTATACGTGCAGGAAAAGCAAATGACTGCAAACTTGGTATGAGCGAATGCAGAATGGAAATTACACTCCCAAGGATCCGAGGAGTAGGATTTTGGAGGAATTTTCCTAGAGGGATAAAAAGGGACAAGTTAATTTTAAGTGAAAGTTTACATATTTATGGAGGGCAGGGCAGAAGAGGCCCATTTGCAGTAAAAAGGGTCTAGACTTAATATTTCAAGATGATCTTTCCAGTTTTATGTTCTCACATCACATTAGAGCAACATAAAGGAGTGGGTGATTTTTATTATGCAGCTCCACACATGAGAAAGTGTTAAGTCTTTAACCCAAGAGAGCCTGAGTTGGCTTTTGAAAGGGATAGTACTCAGCACAATACTCAGTTGGAACTACTGTCTAAAATACTGAAAAGTATAAAAGTTAAATGCCCATTTTCAAGAAATTGCTACTTAGTAACTTACATCCCAGTCTCTTAGATAAGTAAGACTCTACTAGAAATAGGATTTCTTTTCTGAAATCATGTGGTTGCTTTTGAGATCTGTACTCATCAGCTCTTGTAAATGCATGATCAGAGAAAAAATCTTTTAAAAAAACTCCTTTATTAAAAGGCCAGCAGAAAAGGATAGATATGTTCTGATAATATATTTCATATCTTATTATTTTTGATTCAGTATATGACTTGATGTGAAGTTTCAGCTTCATTTTTATGTCTAATATATTGGATAATTCTGAAGCCCCAGTTACCTATTTTGCCACGATATAAAGTTGCTACATTTAAATGAGAAGCAGAGTTTTCAAATATTAGGCAGTTTTGCTATTTCTGTATTTATTCAAGTAATCAAAACCACGTATCAAAATTTGTTACTGTTTGAACATTGCCAGTTATTTTTTAGGCTAACTATTTATCTGTTATTTTTTAGGCTAGTTTTGGAGTGACAGTTTAAGCTAACTATTGTTTTAGCTGACAGTACTCCACAAGTTGTGGCTCAGCGGACATTTGCCACATTTACATGCTTAAAAAGCACAGCTTGTGATTCTTAATTAAGTTTATGGTTAGGCAAGGTATCCTTTCTAAAAGGAAACTTTTGGAAAACACAGGCAATTAAGCCAGGTTGCAACCTTGCATAAGCCTTTAATTGGGAATAGACATGACGAGAGTGGAAATAAATGGTGTATCAATATTGGGCCCTTTTTTCCTGTGAAAAGATCTACTATGCTTGTGAGTTTCACTGTCCTCCTGCCTACACCAGTACATCTGAAGTTGAGCAGTAGAGTCCCCAGGGAATGCTTTCTCCTGGTTTCACAGCATAGTTCTATCTCCTGTGGTCAACAGCGGGCAATTAATCACAAAAAAACCCCAATTCTATCCAGACACATTTATATTCCAGGTGTCCTCCTGCAAATTTAGGCTGTGAATGAGATTATGTCTGCCTCTTTAATGTTGCTTGCTCTGTTGGTTTTACAGCACAGTACCCCCAAGTGGCCTGTTTAAGTCAGAATTCAAACACAATAGTTCACTGATGGGTTTTTGATGAACACAGCTGAAACTGGACTAAGATTAAAAAAGTAAAGAGGGTAGTGGGGAGCATTTCAAAGAATCCTATGTAAACAAGACTGCAGCTAAGTGACTATGTCAGAGGAAATGAATGTTTTACTTAAAATCACTTAGAAGACAATCAACCAGATTTTCACTTCAGCAGCCTGTGGGTCCTGGCTCATGGTTTTGCTCAGAGTGTCTGTAAAATAGTAACATTATCTTTGGAAGTAATTTTCCCTCCCTTCATGGAGGACTTCTGTGATCATGATCCAAGAAGGACTGGGGTCCTCATACTTGTTATCACGTTTATCACATGGAATTAAAAACAGCAGGGCATGTGGTAGACTGATGACAGTGACACTGAGAGGATGGCAGAAAGGAGATGAAAAGGAAGAGGGAGCTTCATCTGTACTTTTTTTTTTTTTTAAATTATTGGTAGATGCCCCAGTATTTATTCATGAACTAAAATGTGGTACATTTTGTACTGGTAGTACAGGTAGTCAGTCAGCCTATTGAAGTAAAAATTCTCTGGACAGTTGTCCTCAAGTGTTTTGATTGAAACCATGTTGTTTCAAACAGGTGAAGGGTCATATTCTGTCAGGACCCAAGTGCTTAACAGCCTCACTGGATTCACTTGGAGGTGGAGTCAATGCTGGCTGGTAACAACCAGGGAGTGTGCAGTACCTTCTTCCACATGCAGCCCAAGTCAGAGGTACTGGCACCATAACTGGCTGGAGACTGCTGAGGATGGTGGAAACACCTCTTGCCTTTACTCACCACCCAGTGAGAGTTATTCTGGAGCAGAATGCTGAAGCAGATGATGAACAAACATTTGTTACAAGGTCTGCCTGGCTTACGTATGGTAAGGGTGTTTTCATCAGATTTGTTCACACCATCAGCATAATCATTACATAAAAACTACTGAATACTGCAGTCATTCTGTCTTTTACCACATATGGTAGGATATCATGCCTTGTACTGAGGTTTCTGGGATATAATCCTTCCTCAACAGTGTCGGTTGATTCACCTGAATGAAGGGCAATAATGTTACAGCAAACAAAGGATTTCATGCAATGTCATAACTTCAGGATTTTTCCTCATTTTGGAATATGAAATACACAGTACTCTATGTGTTTAGGATTTGGTGTCAAAGGTAAATTTTATCTCATTGAACTGGATAGCTGAATGATACTGCCATTTGAAATACCAAGTTAAGATGAACCACATATTGTCAGAGTCCACACTGTGATTTATATAGTTAATATGCAGGGTTAATACAGGTGATGCCAAAAATGGCTGGATGGAATTACAGTAGCAGTAGTTGTAAGTTACCACCTTACATTTTGGATTTGATTTCTTTTTCACTACCTAATTATCTTATTAAATAAAAAGAAAAGAAAGCGAGAAATTAAAATAAAATTGAATACTTAGGATTTGAAACACTACTATACAACTCTGAGTACTCAAGGATCTTCTGCTAAGGGCCACATTCAAAAAACTCTGTCCAGCTTCCCTACTGTGGCAGCTCACCCAAAGCCAAGGCTGCATGGCTTGCATGGGGTCCCATCAGCAGAACTGGTGAATCTGCATCTTCCTTTCTAGAAAGATGCATGAAAACAGAAATCTCATTACTCTTTGGTAATGATCGTGACAGTTTTAATTATAATGAAACTCTGTATGGTAGATTAAAGAGCTAAATACTGAAACTACATGAGGAAGCTGTAATCTACTCTCTCCATTTCTTTTATTATTAATGGGGTTATTGGTTAGATGCTGGCAACACGCACAGGATAAGAAGTTTTCTGCCCCAAAGGACTTACGGTCCAAGGACCTGATCTTGCTTCCTGTTTCAAACAAGTACTAGCACAGCATATGCTTTGTGTTTGCTCATTGACTAAGGTGTTTAAAACCGCAGTTTATTCAGGAAAAGCTCCCACCAATATCAAAAGAAATTCTGGCAATTCTAATATTTCGGTATACAGTTTGTGAGTCCTAGCTAGTACTAGTATCTGTTTAAAAAATAATCGATACAAGCTGACTGGCAAGAATATTGATGTAAATCAGATTGCAGGTTTGTACATATGTCTAATAAAATAAACATTTTAAACTAGTCCTACAACCACTTATTTCTGCTGTTTTGATGATGCTTTTTTTTTTTCTTTTCTGATCACTTGGTTTTGCTGATTTGTTAACTTCCTGAATTTAGATTTTATTACATGAGTTCCACTTTATTCTAACGTTACCTCCCTGCCACTGGATACTTTTTCCTCTAGAGTCCTATCAAAACAAGGGATTAACTGTATAGCTAGCCAGTTTTCGGCTATTCATCTTGAGCTTGTTATTCAAAACTGAGAAGATCACACAACTTGGATAGTTCTTTGCTTGGGGTCTTTTGTTTGTTTGTTTTGTTGTTGGTCTATGGGCTAACTAGGGCTGCATAAAATATGTTTATACCTCAGAACTGAAAAATATAGCTTTTCTGCACTTTTAAATTATCCCTGTCGTTTTTGTAGATCTTCAAAGAACTCCAGTAGTTCTGTGAGTAGAATGTCACATAATGTTATTTCTTCTTCAGTACCCTGTTACACAGGTATGTATGAAGATGGCAGAATATTTTGTTGGCTTTTGTAAAGAAAATCAAAAACTGCTACAGGCTGAAGGTTAGAGTTTCTGCAAACCACATCAAGTTGTCTATCACAGTTTGAGAGTGATTACTGCATGTTCTGTCCTTTAAACACAAACTCATCAAGAGAATAGCACTTATATAGAAGCAATTATTTTCTCACTTGGTAGCCTTCACCCATCAGACATGCTGGTGTTCACAAAGGAAAATTTAGTAAGTGTTCCTTATGAGGTAATAGTGTAAAAGCAGAGGAAAGTAGCTCTGTCACTCAGGAAACCTGAGTTTCGCATAATGACCCCCTTTCAAGCTGTCCTGCTTAAACAACATAGTCCTAAAACACATTACTGTTTTCATTCTTAGTTTCCATACTGAGACAAAAGAAAGCCCTGTGAATAATCTTGGTCTTTCAAGAAACCTTTTTCCTTTTTTTTTTTTTGTTTTGTTTTTGTTTTTGTTTGTTTGTTTGTTTTGTTGTTGTTGTGTTTTGTTGTTGTTGTTTTTTTTTGTTTGTTTGTTTTAAATCTCTTCTCCAGGTTTTCAGCCTATGGGACACTGCCTGCATTTGGTCTTACAATGACCTCTCATTTGCTGAAATCCTCAGTCAGTCATTAATCACCTCCTGTCAGGACTATTGCGATTCCCTCTTCATAGTCTTTATAAATCCATATTATCTCAACTTCAGGAAGACTGAAGTATCATAGCCAGATCTGTCTATCCAGTAAATACCACGACATCAGCTTCATCTTCTGGACCATTCCATAGCTTTCTACTTCAACTGACCTTCTAATCATCTTCAAAGTTATGTTTTTCAAAATGTTGATAAATTGCTCTAATTCACTGTATTAAATTTTTGTCCAGCTATACCTAACTTTACTCTCCTCTCTTGATATCTTCTATGTCTCTGCTCCGTCATTTGACCTGACTACTAACGTCTTATTCTAGGCAGATGAAATTGCCCATCTTTGGAGTACCTGTGTGACCAAGTGAATTTAAATCTCATACTACTTTTTTTATTTTAAGATAAATTGTTGGATTTTGTGTGAATTCATGTATGATATTGCTCTATACAGAACCATTCTTGAGAATTTGCCAAGACAAGACTTCACACTGGATGACTTAAGCCAATGTATGTGATTTCAGTATGGCTTTTGTTTACGTAAGTCACCCCAAAATCAACTATCTTCTGTGATTCTGTAATTTGTTCTTTTTCATTCTCTAAATTGAAAAGGGAGTGTACAGTAAAAACACATACATAAAATCTGTAGCTGCATGATGAAAATTGAAGGTTTTTAATTTCATAAACCAATGTATTTAACCAAAGATTTAAGCAAGCAATAATATTTTAATTTTTATTTTTTATAATGTTAAAAAAAATCTTTATCTAGATAAAGATCTCAAACAGATTTGATGAAAATTCTCTACTATGAAGCATTTTATAAGTTATGAGAATGCTTTAGAGAAGGAGAAACAAATTTAAACAAAGAATTTAAATAAAATCCACACTAACTTTTTATAGCAGAGAAGAGTTTTTCGCTAAGTCCCTTCCAAGATGAGTAAAGACCCCTTCCCTGCCCATAGAAGTATAAAACCTTTGTGAGGCTATGGGGATGTTGCATTTTCCCTCTGAAAGAACAAACATATGACAGTCAAAACCACATCATACTGCTGCAAGCCTTAAATTTATCCCAGCACCCACCTTCAGGCAAACTTACACTGGAAAGCTTCCTTTCTAATAAATGGAAATGGATATCCCTGGTTGGAATCACACTCAAAAGGTTTTTATTTCATTCTTTCTACTGGTCACATCTTGCTACTTTATAAAAAAATATAAAAATTCAAACATAGATATTTGATAAATTCTGTGTCCCAATGGGGTATATTTATAACATGTGATCTCTGTTTTCTCTCATTCCTTAGAATGTTGACTTGCAAACTGAAGGAGGATGTAATCGCACTACAGGAGAATCCTTTCCTTTACCAGACTAATTAAAGGAATTTCTTTTCTGTTTAAACTTGAAGGACTGCTCTGTAAATTCTAATTTAAAGTAATAAGGATGCTACAATCCAGAAAACTGTACTTATGAAACACCCTGACTTTTCAATGAGGTACAAAACTTCACATGCGTATGAAAGCTGCCAGCAGAAGAGTAATAGAGAGAAACAGAAACAGAAAACAGAGACAAGGTCAAGTCTGGAATATTTCAGAGGCTGAGCAAATGACAGAGGAGTGTGATAGAGGCATGAAGGAATAGATTCCTGGAAACTTACTTTATAATTAGAATATGAGTCCTGAGTATCTGTTTGGAGGACACTCTTCAGCTGCAGTTTTGTTGACAGATTAAATAACTTTGTGTTTTCCTTCCATATAATGGCAAGGTCACCACAACTTCTTATATTCAAATCACAACAGGACATACTGACAGCAGCTGGCTGTTCTCTGTTTCTTTTTCTTATTCTAACAGTCAGAAAACAGGGAACAATGTATCTCAACAAAAATGAAAAGAAAGTATTATAAATCAGAATTTTGTAATTTCTCTGGAGGTTGCTACAAACATTGCTGTATACATATCAATTAAATGCCAGTGCAAAGGCTTAGATGGTCACATTTTGCATAATTTAAGCTCATCTGTACATTTAAAAATGGTTTAAATAGGATACTGTGAATGCAGGTGAAATTGATCTATAATTACCACTTCATAATTTTAGAATTAGCAATGTGGAAACAGGCCAGTCTTTTCCATATAATAACCTGATTAGAAACTTGTTGGATTTTTTTCCCTTTTTTTTTTTTTTTTGGTATAAACTACCACAATTTCTTGATAGAATCTTGTAATGTGAAAAAGCAAAGCCAAACGTACCAAAAGAAAGATTATTTTTTTTAACAGTGAAGACAGAATAAAGAGACAAAATTGAAAATGGATGACCAAAAACTACAAGATTTTCTGATCTACCTAAAAAAGCATCTTGAAAGAGACTTATGAATGTGATGACAGTACAACTCAGGGAAAGGCTTCCGAACCATCAAATTAATGAAGATGCTTTGATTATTGCTTAAGCTGAGATTTGTCTGCAGGCTTTCCCCCTACCATGACATAATCACTGTTATAAGCACTCCTTCAGTGCAGAATTAAACACATTGGTTTCCTTGGACCATTTCAGCTCAGACCCCCAAGGAAAGAGAGGTAGTAGTGCTGAGGAGCTCCAGGGACAACAATTGCAATTGCAAAGATACACAAAGT